TCATTCATTCAAAAATCTTTATAGAATTTATATGTAGAGTATGATAAAAGCTATGGTTAAGGCATATTTTAGAATTTTTATCAATTACAGATCTGTCTGTTTTGTTGCTGCTGTCTTCAAACCCCTCAAAATATGAGAAATAGCAGAAATATATTACAAGTAGGTATTCATCACAGCCACTACTGATAGATGTGCCTTCATCTACAAGTCTAGCAGCCTCCTAGAAATTTTAGTGTACTAAGCTTAAAAGCCAGATGTGATGTGTTGCTGTAGAGTGACCTCACTGTCAGGACCAAGGTTAGAAGTTACGTGTCCCCAGATGTGAGAGTAGGTGAGGAGTTTCTGTTACCTTTTTAATGTCTCATTTGTCTTCTAAAGAATATATACCAGCCTGGCAGTAACACACATCAACTCCAGTTTGCCTCTTTTCTGCCCAGTGCCACCTCACCCCAGCACATCTGTGGCACAATCACATCAGTTCTCTGTGCTGGTAGGGTTTTGTCAAGGAGTTTTTTTCGCTTTGACTCAGGAAAAACTCCACAGACATCACTGAGAAGTACAGTATGATGAAGGTTGAGTAGCATTACCAGAAGCTTGAAGACCTCCCACAGGCAACACATCTGGCTTTGTCGGCTTTGGAGATAAACCAGCCCAGGAGATAGCCCCATGTACTGAGGACCACACAGACTTCTTGGCGCTGTATACACAACTTGAGGAACTGTGCTTTAACTGCTCTGTGGAAACCACAGTAAGTTCTCATGTTGCTGATAGTCAGGAATTTAAAATAAAATGCTATCTGTTAGTAATGAAGCTATTGCAAAATAAAAAAATATTTTGCTTATCTGAAGGTTAAAAATTTGCCGTTTCTAACAGCAGTAAATGTTTTTGCCCTGAGCTTCCTAACTGGCTTCCTCTTCTACTCTGACTCACTCTGTTTTGTCACATTTCAGAAATATTAAAGCCTAGAAAGTTATTTGTCAGCTGTCTTACAAATGCAGTTTAAAAGGTACTGCGACACATGGTTGTGTTTTTAGCCACAGATATCAATCCAGACATTTTCTCAAACAGGGAAGCCTTGTGGAGTTTTTCATCCTAAGAAAATACGATCATCTTCAAAGAGTAGCAGGATGCTATCTGGTACCAAAGTGACACTAAGAATGACTTTGAAGTCTTCTTCATGAATAGTCCCCATGGTTTCAATGCAAGTTTTTGCCAAGTAAGAACCTAAATCTTATATGAAAAAAAGTGATACAAGTTCTGTTCTGTATAAATTGCACCCTGTATTTCAGCATAAAGTTTAAATGCCTGTAATTTGATTACCTAGTGTTTCATGTTCAGGAATATGATCTTTCTGCTCAGAAGTTTAAAATTCTAAAACACAATCAGAGATATAAAAGTGGGTTGAAAGCTGATGCCTGTCTTGTTTGAATGAACAGCTTCTGGGCAGACAAACTCACATTACTGCACATGCAGCAAATGTAATGTTAAAATATTCTGCCTCACTACAGTTCCACTTGTGGCTGTGAGCAGGGTTGGATTAAAACTATGTAAAGTTGACATTTCCAGATCAAGGCACAGGCATGAACAAATGTGCTGTGCTCTCTGTGAATGGTGGATCTTGTCCAGAACACTCTTCAATCTTCCATTGAAGCACACAGCTTTGTGGTTCACCAGTGTAGACCAGAGCCAAAATCAGAGCAGAAAATTTTCCTGCCAAACTCACATGATCTTCAGACCACATATGGATATCAGCAAGCCAGAATCTGTGGATATGTGTTAGCAGTTATCATTAATTTCAATCTTTCTTGGTATTTTTGAGCACTGGACTGCATCTTACGCATCTTACAGTGATATGCAACCAGGACTGATGCTCTCACTTTACCCAGTGAGCATCCCCCAAGCCAGAGGGCAAGATTTGTTGTAAAGCTTCTCCTCAAATGTCTTTGAACTTCAAGCTTTGAGGTCATGTTTCGGTCCAGGAGACAAAACTAGCCCTGATTTGAAGTAAATCTCCTAAACTACATATAATCCAGTTATGGTTCTCTCAATACCATTCGCTTTAATAACTTGACCTCCTTATACTGTGCTTCTTTACTTAATAATGTAGATGTGGCCTTTGAAAAATGTAAATGTTTAAATACTGATATTAATACATACAAGGATATAATAATATAAGCAACAATAACAATTGTCTTTCAAAACAGCAGTGTTTAGTTTGGCTAGGAAACAATAAAATTAAAAATAGAAAAGGTGAGCTGAACAGTTAGACAGTAAAAAGTCACTATGATAAAATATGAGCACAGTTAATTTAAATTAACCAACACCCTGTTTAATGAAGTATTATAAATATCATATTAATATCAGTAACATTGCTGTAATATTATGCAATGTTATATTTAAACAAATTGCTTTGTTTTATTCAACTAAAAGATGAGACACATAGAAAGGTCACAAACATGAATATATCAGACTAGGTAAGAATTACCTAAGCCTTATAACTGAAGTAGTATATTCATTAGAAAAGACCTAACAGGCATTTCTCTGTTGTACAAGGTTGCATAAAAAGGGAAAGAGAGAAAAGGAGAAAATAAGCTTCACAAATCTACTTTTGTTGCAGCAAAACGAAGCTAGTGCAGGAATCTGAGAAAGAACGAGAAAGCATTTTGAAAATTTTAAAACAAGATCATGAAAAAGAATGACAAAGCAAGGAGAAGGAAGTAGGATAAAAACAAAACAAGGAGCAGAAGCAAGATGCAACAAGCTTAATCAAAGCCTCTATCTGAAAACCCAGTGCTTTTCAAATATTTCTGTGTGATTCACGATCAAATTTGCATCTAAAAAGTGAGAATAATGTTTTCAAAAGCAGCTACTCCTCTAGTGCCTCAGGTATAATTTTCAGTGCCAATAATTTTTTTCATTTAGAAACCAAATGGAGATGCTGAAAAGAGTTGGCTTGGAGCCAAGTGAGTGGTTGTTTCGATTTTAGGTTTGAGTGTTTTTCCCTTCTCACTGATACAAAAATAAAAAAAACCCTTAATGTCAGAGAAAAACTGCAGACAATCGAAGAACAAACATCCAGTTTCATTCCAGATAATTGTAAAAAAAGCAGCAGAAAACAAACTCTAGCTTCACAAAGTTGTCACTGAGACTTTCTTTTTAACAATATTCAGTGTGGTTTAGATACTTCCTGAGGATCTGAAAGCCCCAGAAACAAATACCATCTCCACCTGTTGGGCAATGTTTTGGTAGCAGAAGGTTGACTACAAGGATGGCTTCTGTGAGAAGCTTCTAGAAGCTTTCCCCATATCTGACATAGTCAGTGCCAGTAGGCTCCAAGGCGGACCCAGTGCTGGCCAAGGCTGCACTCTTCAGTGACCGTGGCAGCACCTCTGGGATAACAAATTTAAGAAGGAAAAAAAAAGTTAATGCACAGAAGCAAGTGCATCCAGAGAAAAGACGAGTGAGAATATGTAAGAGAAACAGCCCTGCAGACCCTGAGGTCAGCACAGAAGGAGGGAGGGGAGGTGCTCCAGGCACTGGAGCAGAGATTCCCCTACAGCCCATGGTGCAGAACATGGTGAGGCAGCTGTGCCCCTGCAGCCCATGGAAGTCCATGGGGGAGCAGAGATCCACCTGTAGCCCCTGGAGGACTCCCTTCTGGAGCAGGTGGATGCCTGAAGGAGGCTGTGATAGAGTGGCTTTGGCTGGTACACAGTGTCCAGCCAAGGTCAGGCCAACATATACACCTTAAGAAAGATGTGAATTATCAGTCTGAGGCATAGCTGGGAATAAGGAGCTCCTTTGTTTTAAATTACCCATCCATCCTAGTTAATCTTCTCATTGTAATCTACAATTCACTGGAATTTTTCCAAATTCCCTCCTTTAGAAAGTCAGTAACACCTGTTTATCCTACAAATATGTTGGAGAGTTATCTGGGAAGAATTCTGGGAATGGAAACTGTAAGATAAGTGCTAAGTATTATTGATTTGGGAATGTGCTGCAATTATTCTAGTAACGTGGAAAAGACAGATCATTAAGTTGGACTATCATGCTTGACACACTTCATGTTTCCCCAGGGAGGGGCTGCAGGGAGTAAAAGTCTGAGGCCCAGACAAGGCTCAGCAGATCTATCTCACAGTATACCTCCCCAGACAGTACACTGGGATAACAAATGGGAGCTTCCCTCTCCCACAGTAGGTAGTCTCTGTCTTCTATCACTCTTCACTTCCTCCTGCATAGATTAGGCCCTGCCAGCTCTGATGCTTTGCTGGAGAGGGCTTTCAGTCTCTAACCTGGTACCAAAACACTGAAGCTTATGTTATGGAGCTACAAGGGCCACTCTTGTCTCTGCTACACCCTCCAGTCGCCCATGACCTTTCAAACTATCTTTTGTTCTGGTTTTATACAGTGTCTATAAGGATCGACATTTGTTTCATAAGTGACATGACAATATAAAACAAACTAATGATCATTTGGTGTTACCTTGCTGTAATAATGGTTTAAGAGTAAGTGGCAAGTTATTTCAGGTTTCATGCTGCCTCTGTGGTTCTTTGATACTATGATAATGCTCATATAGAGAGAGGCTTATTTATGTTAAACTTTCATTAAATCAGGCTAGATACCAAATCACAAACTCATGCCTTCTGAAATGCTCTGTTTAATAGATGAATTCAGCCTAAAGCATTACAAGGCCTGTCTTCAATTACATTACAATCTTCTGCTGGAGCTTAGGATTCCTTTGCAACAGAGAAGACTATGAAAATACTGAGCTTCACAGTTGAACTTTTGTCAACAAGAGCATTTTGTGATCTTTGGATTGTGGCATCTTCATTGTTGGCTGAAATATGGATCAGATTTGGCTACTTAAAAACATCAGATTGAAAAGCATCGTGAGTATATGCATAAAACAAAAAAAGAAGTCATAGCTCCATATTCAAGCAAAATTTTATTCAAAGTTCTGGAAGTACAGATCTACATTTCCAAAGGTAGCTAGTCATTCTGATGTTTGATTTGACACATCAAAGCAGACTCAGGTCTTCATAGCACTAAAGTTCAGCAATCTGTAAAAAAACAAGATCTGCTTTCAGGATGGATGAGACATTAGATATTGAGTCCCCCAAACCAGTAGTCACTTTTAAGAAAGACATTAAAAGGGAGAAGCCAAAATGCATTAACTTCAGAAATTCCTGACCTTCTGTTCTATGTCTCCCCTTTCATTCCCCTTGTCAGTGCTGCTTCTTTTTCCTTTTGCTAGATCCTCTCCTTCTGGCACTGAACACGGTGGGCTCATCTCAAGAAACACCTGTTCTTTTTTGTCCATTTCCATAACCTGTACCTACTGCATCTCCCAGCTATATTTTGAGGGAGAATACTACTCCCTCATTTCTTCCCCAGACCCTTACACAGAACAGGGGGTGCAAATGAAGATAGTTTGGTGACTACAGGAGCTTAAACCAGATTGCTCCTAATTTTTCTCCTATCATGTATCTTTTTTGTCACCTCCTCTCTCATGATACCTGCCTATTCAGAACACTCAGTATCGTCAGTGAGGAGAGAACCACTTGTCTCTAGCAGCAGTCCCTGAGAAGGAAGGTACATCTGAATTCCCAAAGGAAAACCAACAGATTCCATAAATTTCAGCACCTACATCAATTTGAATAAACTGTTTTATTCTAAAGCTGTTCTTTCTTCATAGATCTCATTAGGAAGTGGAGATCATAATTTTTGAAAACTCTGCTTGCCTTCACTAGAAGCCTCAGTTTAACTTGAGTTTTAAAATTATGTCAACATCTCAAAACTCTGAGTCATTTTTTAGTTGTATTTTAGGCCTGCTCTATAACCAAAATGTTCCTACAAGTAGTAACTCTAAAGTAAAGGAGCATGTCAGAAGGCTGTAACTGTAAACAGTTCCTACACCAGTAATAACTTAATTCATGCCACTGTTGTAACTAAGACACTACTATCTCCAGATCTCACAAGATCAAGATCAGAAGAAAGAAGTGCTAGTCATCGATCTACCTGCATTTTTAAATCACCAGCCCCTGAGAACGTGGGAAGGAGCTTCATTTAATGGCAAAATATGCTGAGTTCATATACTCTGCAAGGTTGTGGCACTAAAAATATTCCTTTTACAAAGCTAACAAACTGTGTTTCCTTAGGGTTGGAAGCTTTCCCCTTCTACTATGAAGTTAATACATTTCACTAAAGCAAAGAAGGTGGGCACATTTAGAAGACTACGCTAAAATCCACTAGCTTATAAGGAACAGGTTTGCTCCACAAAAGCCACACTCTACAGACTGTAAAGAAAGAAATACATTACCCATAGAACTAGCTGGCATTGCAGGCAAATAGTAAAATGCCTGAAAAGTTACCTAGATCAAGCTCTTTTCAGGAGATTGTGTTGGAGGAGGGCTTTTCCAAACAACTGAATTTGTTCAGGTTGGATGTTAAGAACAGCAAGTAAGGTTCATTATGAACATGAAACCAACACTCACCACCTATCAGTAGGAAGCAAGTGATTATTCGATACATTTACAAAAGGTTTTAGAATATGAAATAAGGTGACTCGACATAGCAGTCCTAAACAGATTTCTTATGCAAAGATTTCGAGTCTGTTGGCTGCTTATTAAAGGAACAGGTGGGTTAGTTCTGTAGAAAGATGCCCTGCAACTTAAAAATGATGTGTTATAGTGAATGGTTCTTAACTCTTACTTTTCATTCTTGCGTGTCTTGAGTAGAATTGAGGCTGTAAAAGTAAACTGCTTCTGTTCTGTGACACTGCTTTCAGGCTTCTAATGGAGAAATTGTTCTTCACATCCCAAACTCCTTCTAGAGCCACTGTTAATAATTTGGTAAAATAATAGCATTATAACTGATTTCTTCAACATGTTCTAGAATTAATGTAATAATATTCTTCCATAGTTAATGAAAATAGATTGACATCTTCAGAGAGCAATTCAGATTGCTAAAGGCGTATAACACTCTCTACTGTCTGTAGAACAGATTAAGACTACTAAGGCTCCTAATTGAAGAAGGATATAGCTTGGCTATAACATATAACAAACATCAGTAATATCACTGATGCATCCAGCATCATTTTTTGGTCATACTGGAATATCAAATGCCCTCATAAAAAGATAGAAGAAAATGACCCCCTCCGCCCCCTCAAAAAAACCCACAAAAATAAAAACCCAACAAAATCCAACCAAACCAAAATAAAACCAACACCACCAGAATTAAATAAAAAGCTAATTCATTTTGTGGAAAGGTTCCAACTTACTAATCATCTAATTTATGTAAAACAATACACTTTCATAACCTAAACTGTGTAAAATAGTAACCTTCCAACCTGCCAACTGTTGTTTATCAGAGCCCGGCCACTTAGGGAGCATGTCTAATTCTCCAGATGAAACACATGAAAAAGGGTTACTGAATAGCCTGTACACCACCATCCATCTGACTGTATTTATTATCCATAGTGTTGTTGTACTATGCCTATAACATTATGCTATAATATCATTTTCACACTGAATATAGAATACCTTTTCTATACTGAGCTTGTTATAGATCCATATTATTCATTCCTGTAATCAGTATTTTTGTAATGTTTCTATGTTATCTTTAGTACCATAAGCCTTTGTAACATACATTTCACTGGGAGACTTTTGAGAAATCATGAGAACATATAAGGTAACATCCCATTATACAATCTGACCGAAATACTGCAGACAACTAATTCACTGACAGACTGGGTGCAGCAAAATAGTTGTGTTCAACTCCTAGTAACATTAGGAACACGAGCAGATAGAGCAGACCAACGTTAACATCTGCAGTTCAGCTACACATTCAGGACCCCTTTTGAGTCAATGAGTATGACAAATGCAATAGCAGGTATCTAGGACAAGACAAAAGAACTGCATTTTCAAAGTACCTTTTTCTCTTCATTTACTATAAACAGAACCTACATAAGTCAGTCATTTGCAGGTGTGTGCTGTAATTGCCTAACAAGACTAATCACAACAACAGAGGTGCAGGCTCATATGGTCTTTACATCTGATACTGATTACATTACCCCATTTACGTACACTTTTGTCGGTGAATCCAACTGTTTTAAATTCATTTTGAGTGAATTTAGAATTGGGTCTCTCAATCCTACACAAGAGAAACTATTCTAATAATTACAGCACTTCTTTCAAAAGAAAAAGGTAATAAAATCTCTTCCTACTACTTGGCATTTGTTTCAGCTTTATTAAACTGATAGATCATATGGAATTATCCATGTTCTCTGTGGTCCCATAATTTCTGGACAAAAAGAAAAAAAGTAATAAAGACTATATGCAATTCTTCTGTTTATGTATTTTACATAAAATGTTCCTCAGGATATCACATAAATATTCTGGGTTGCTTTTTTTAAAATAATTTTGCTGCAGTTCCTTAAAAGAAGCATTTGTCCTGACAAACATTTGCCCTTTGCTCATAAAGAGGGATTACCTGCAGCTGGATGTTTAACATTGCATTCTTCTTTCTGAAAACGAAGGTGCTCCTCAAGTATTTCTTTAACTCTCCTAGATGGCTCAACATATACACATTTCTTCCCTGTTAGTAAAACATATTACAAAAGAAACAGTTGTTACAAATCCCCTGAACGCTGACATGCTTTTCTGAATGGACTGTCAAATTATGCTGCTCTGCCTCTGTCTTTAATACACTGTTATTTTAATACACTGTAACTTTAATACACTGTGAGACAAATCATTTACAAATATATGTTAGTGTTCAGCCAGGCCCTGCTCCACAAAACCGAGCGATTCCTCAGATAGGAGGATGGTACAGGACAGGACCCTGGTGGGTATATCCATGAGGTGTGCTAGTAACCAAGGCCACCCAGGGCACTCGGGGAGACACGGCCACTCTGCCTCCCCCCGACAGACATCCCAAGGCAGGGCCGAGCATGAACGAGCATCCAAGGAGATGTCCCCGCTGAAGGAGGTCTCCAAGGAGCTGAAGAGGGATGCAGGCACCTCATGGCTGCAGGGGAGTCTCTGCCTGACGGCGCTGCCCGCGCCCTGGCCGCGGTGCCGGGGGCAGCGAGTGGCCGCCAAGGTGCCCGCGGGGCATCAGTGAGGAGCCGCGGGTGGCCGGCTCGGCTCCCCGAGGGGACACGGCGGGGCGGGCCGGGGTAGGGCAGGGGAGGCCGGGGACCGGGACAGCCGTGCTCACGGGGCTGCTCGCCGCGGGCATCGCTGCCCGGCTCCTCGGCCTCCGCCTCCGGCAGCTGCCGGCCCGCCGCCCTCATGGCCGCCGTGCCCGGGCGTTGCAGTCGGGCTGTTGCCACGGGAGGTTGCCGGGCCACCCGCGCAGGCGGGGCCGCCACGTCGGCTGCGACTTCCCGAGGGATGGAGCCCAGCGCCTGGGGCCGGCGGATCGGGTCCCACATTTCGGGTCACAGCGGGGTGTTCTATCCCTTCCACAGGCCAGGGATAAGCGTGGGGATGCCCCTCGAGGCCCGGCGCAGCCAGCTGCCATCCCCAGGGGCCAGCAGGCTGTGCCCACCTCATGCCTGCTTGGGGCACGGATGGTGACAGCTCTGGGTGCCATTAAACAGCTACTCCTTTTTGTCACTCAGTGTGACCCCACTCGGGAGAGGGGCATGCACGTCACCATGTACCCTCATGGGGTGTCACCAGTGGCCTGCCTCAGGGAAGGATGCCTTGTCACCCTCAGCAAAGGCAATGGTGGACTGGCAGGAGTAATGAGAGAAGAGTCCAGTTTAACTGATCTAGATCTACTGATACTCAAAAGTACTAGCTTGGTTATAAAACGAGGTATCTTGAGACGCTGTTTACAGGTTTGAAGTATATTTGATTCTCCTTGTTTTTGCACAGTTACAGTTTTCGGTAAGAGGAACAGCTGCCATTTACAGTAGTCAATGGATAATGCTGCCAGCAGGCACACAGGGAAGCTGTCCTGCTCACCTGGCTGAAAGCTTTCCTCTGCAGCAGCTTCCTTGAAACTGTCTCTTTGCGTATGGTAGTGAGAATTTATGAGATACAAACCAAGTCTGGTTACACAAATCCATGATGTAATCCATGTCTATATTACTCCTTGGCAGAGTTCAAGGTATATTCATCTTCCACAGATGTCCTGAAACCAAATTTTCAAAAATAATAAGCATTAAAATCATCTTATACCATTCATAATTCGGAGGCTGTTCTTCATTTTCTAACAGAAGTGCTGCACATTACACACTCCCTCTAAAAGGTGGGCGACAAAAATGCCCTCCACAGTCACTTGATGAGAGCACTAAATGTGGGCCAACATGCCCCAACCCTGCTGCTGTGACAATTGTGCTTCAGCTGTGTTAGTGGTGTCTGGAAGGAGCATGGGATCACTCAGTAAGAAACCTGCACGGCATAGTGAAGTGTTTTCTTACAGCTCTCATACTGAGTGACAGAACTTCAGGCCTTACATTCAATTTTCAGTTCAATTTGTTTAACAGAGAGAAGCAAGTTTCTCCGCTTCCAAATTACAGATGGCAAAGCTGAAGCTGAAAATCATGCAGCATGCGATTACCATGGGAAAATCTTTAATGTATGTCTCAGTTTAACAAGACTTCCCTCGGGACCAGAAGCCAAAATATGACCCGTCAAAAAACAAACAAACCGAACCCCAGACCCCTTCTCTCCACACACCCTCTCCGAGTCCGGGCAAAAGCCAAATCCAGCCCCCCGAGGAAAAAAAACCCTGAGCTCTCCCTACTCCCAGCTGAGGCTACGGCGGATGGGGGTTCTCCCTTACAGATTTAGTTTGTGCCGAGGTTATCTAGCACGTCAATGAACCAGTCGTTACGTCCAGGGCTCGCCTAACAGTAAGAGTCTTAGCTTGCTGGCAAGCAGCTCTTGGTATGGGAAAATTCACTAGGAAACGGTAACAAAATATAAAACTGTAACAATGTACTAACTCAAAAGTGGAAGATAAACGCTAAATTACCTGTAACTAAATCAGCTGTAACTAATCAGACACAACACTATGCTGGGTGTTTACCCTCACACAGTTCAGGCTCATTTGTTCCAACCAATGCCGCGTCCATGACCTCATATCTTTAATCAACTTAATTTTGCTAGGGAAAAGTAAACAGGATCTTGACAGAACGTCGTTTTCTTGAAAAGTAAAAGAAAAAAAACCCCAAAACTCCTTTCTCATCCTGTGGATAACACTTCGTATTTATGAACAGGCGCTTGCATTGTAAATGCTTTCAATTAAAAATATGACAAAGTACTTCAGGTTAAATATTTTATTTTAGAATAAGCCTTATACCAAGATCATTAAATATTTTGTGTATCACCCAAATAAGTTACATTCATTCTGAGCTTTCATGCAGTTTTAAAAAAGTTAAAATTTCTCAAAAAATTCAAAGTGAGTTGTAATAAACTCTGCCTAACCAAGCCAGAATTTTTTCATATCAAGTAAATATTCCAGTTTTCTTTACTGCTACGACACTACAGAAAAATTAGAAAGGCCCCCTCCAAATTTGTACTAATTAAATGGAAACTCACAGAAACTACTGAGGCTTCTCACTTCAAATTATGAGTGAGACCACTGAGCTGAATTGCAAGAAGTGACATTTTGCCTGGGGAGAACACTAAAGTATCTTATATTAAAACCTTGCTGCAAAGAGACAGACCACCACCGATGAGCATGCAGAACACAGACAAGAAAGCAGCAGCAAACCCCACATTCATAAGCCTAACCGCAGCTTTTAAGGGGACACGGCATTTATGCAGTCTTCTACTATTTCAAAAAGGTAGTGATACATATCAGTCCTCCTAGCGATGTCAAGGGCAGTTTCATCCAAGTTGTTTTTCAGGTCTGGTTTCACGTAGCGATTCATCAGCAAGAGTTCAAGGGTTTCTCTGCTGTTCTTGTTTCCTGCAGCAATATGCAGTGGGGTCAGCAAACCATTTGTCTGCGCGTTGATGTCTGCGCCCTGCTGCAGCAGGAACGCGGCCACTCTTGTGTTGTTCCACTTGCAGGCGCTGTGCAGGGGTGTCCAGCCGTCCACAGTCTGAGCGTGGATGTCGGCGCCCTGTGCCACCAATTCGTGTGCAATGTCCAAGTGCCCCCTGTAGGCAGCTCGGTGGAGAGGAGTGTACTGGTCTTCGTCACGAGCGTTCACTGGAGCCAGCTTTTCAGTCAGGAGCCTCTTCACTGTACTCAGCTGTTTAAAGAAAACAGTTTATTTCATGTGATTCCGTGAAACAGGCTTTTCCCGTCTGGAAGTTTGGTGGAAAAGCAATTTCTGGCAGTGTCAAAAAAACGCTTAAGTGCAACAACAGACTTGAAAATGAAAGCAGCTATTGTTACTAGGGTTGGGGGATTTTGTGGGTTTGTTCGTTTTCCGTGGGTTGTTCTGGTTTCAAAGAGCTAAAACATGAATATTAGTTGCAATGCTTTAAGAGTACCTTAACCTTACACCTTCTCCTCATTCACCGTGAAGACATAAGTACCTCCACAGAACTGTAGAGGAGAGCTTTTGTGTGTAAGAAAGGCAACTCATGAAAATAAGTGTATAATAAGGGTATAATAATATAACAGAAATCTTGGTTGTCTCTCCTTCACTTCCAAAAATAAAGCTGGGGTTCTTTTCCAGAAAAATACACAAAACCAGTCACCTGTTATCTGCATATGGAGCTTCTGAAACAATAAAATTTCAGATACATCCTCCTCACCTCAGTTAAAAGGCTTATTTGCCAGGAAGAAAGAGCCTGGCATGCTTTCAGTTTATAGAAGTTAAAGAAAAGTGCTGTTACTTGAACTTTGAACTGAAATCAAAGCTTTCTTTCTGAAAGCTAATGGATCCAAAATTTTTTAGTGTGCGTGGGCTACAAAGGGAGATGTTTTACATACAGTGGCTTGCAAAACCAGATCAAAATGGCTCAGAGAAGAACAGGAAAGTGTAGCTAAATTTTTGTTTGTGGATGAGTTGTTAGATATGTGCTTAAAATAACATTCTTCTAAGTGATACATATGAACAAAACAAGTGCCTTACCCGATTGTTTTCAGCTGCCCAGAGCAGCAATGTTTCTGGATTTTTTTCCATTTTCTTTTCTTGCATTTCATACCATTCCTCACTTCTTTCCTGCTCATCATCGTCATCATCAGACTGTCCTGACCAACAGCTCTGAGTTCCTACAGGAATCAAATGCCTGTGCGTCTCCAGCAGTTCAAGCTGGTTAAAATGCTCCGTGAAGTCTTCAAATAACTCGCTGTCATCGTCGTCCTCATCGACTTGCTCGTCTTTATTCATTTTCAGTCAGCATCTGTGAGCAGCAGATGTACAATCTTATTGTTGTACAACACAAATGGAGTTGGTGGACATCGACAAACATGAAAACTAAAGAGCAAAGTTCCTCCACTAACCCGGCCCTTGTCAGCTCTGCCAGAACTCCCAGACAATACCCACGCTGGAAAAGCACCGTGTTACCCCGGTCCCGAAACGGCACCACTTTCGGACGGGCAGCGAGAGGCAGCGCAGGGGTTTGCAGAGCGCACCCGGAACGCTGCCCGTTTTATTAACAAAGGGGCCGGAGCAGTCCGGACAGCAGGGCAGAGTCTCTGCGAGGCCCCGCAGCGCCCGTCCGGCCCCGAGCGAGGCCCTGGCCCGACCCGGCCCGGCCCGCAGCACCGGCCCCGCTCCGCTCCGCACCCCCCGGACGGGCCCCCGAGACACAGAAGGACGCTCCCCTCTCCCCGCCGGCTGGGCCGGGGTCGGCACGGCCCGTGCCTCCCCTCTGCGCCGGCCGTGCCCGCGGGCTGCGGGCAGCCACACCCTGCCCTAATCCCGCCCCGCGGGTCTCCCCTCCGCGCCGAGGCCCCCCAGCCCGGCCCAGCTCGGCCCGCGGTACCTGCGGCCCCAGCGCGACCGGCGCTCCGGGGCGGGGCCCAGCGGCGCTTCCGGGCCGCGGCCGGCGGACGTGACGTGCCGGGCCGAGGCAGCGGCGGGAGCGGGGACCGATCCGGCGGGGTCCGATCCGGCGGGATCAGGGATCGTTCGCTGTGCCCCCGAGCTACCCCAGCGTCTGGCCCGTGCTCTTAGGCTGCACATACCGCCTATGAAGAGAGAAGCTGACTCCCTGAGCTGAGGAGCCTTGGAACGAAGATGAGCACCGTCAACTCACAGTAAGCTCCCGTTGCCTGCACCGCCGTGCGGTCCTGTCACTTCAGACAGAGAGTGTTTCGTGTGCCACATCAGATAGCAAGTGTTTAGTGTGTCACGTCAGACAGCGAGTGTTTTGTATGCTTGGGATGACTTAAGGAGAGCTCCGATCATCATTTGTGTTTTCCCTCAGGTTCTTGTGATCATCATGCTTGCCGTCATATACACGCAAATTGCCAGTGCAGAGAGAGAAGTTGAATGTTTGTTCAACACGTATTTTT